TCAGGTCAAGAATATTACTTTGTACCAAATCGAAAAAAAATCATTAAGAACTTGGGAAACAAAATTCACATGTGCAAAACAATAAACATAAGAAATAACAAGAACAACCATAATTTAAACCGGCTGAAATTAATAAGATGAATCATGACACGAAAAAAATTATGGTTACTCTTATTATCCCTCCTCTGAATTTTCTGGAACGTAGGAACTCTGTTTCCCGATTTCTTACCTTTCTCATGACAACAGACGACGTTTTACTCTTGACCTGAAAGGCGTGGACTCGCCGTATATACAGGCGTATAGGCTTCTGTTTTACCGTGGGGTAGCGACTCAGCAGGTCTTGGCTGATTCAACGTTTCGTTATGAAATGAAAAATGTCGTAGCTCTCATAGATAGATTCTGGTGGAAAATCGTTGTTGTATTCACACTGGATTAACTTTAAGTCACGTCCAGCTGGAAGTCTACGGCTTACCTTTCTGTCTACTGGTGTCCGTGGTTTGCTAGTAGCTCTTACAAATGGACTCAATACAGCAGGGTCTTTCAATTTTACATGGACGTAGAACCAATTTTCGAAATGGAGCGGTTCTAAAAAACTACAACGGTGGGCAAAGCCCAAAATTGTTTTAAGGAATGTGCTATACCATCGCCAAAAATTCCAACTTCCAGTTTCTTACTGTGTCAAGCGAGCAGCCAGGATAGCATAGTTGGCACAGCGACTGACTAAGGGTTGGACGACTGAGGGGTAGTAGTTCGAGTCCCGGTAGGGTCAAAAATTTTCTGTTCTCCACCTCGTGCAGACCGGCTCTGGGTCCCACCCAGCCTCCTATCCAATGATATCGGCTATCGGGTGCTCTTTCCCTGGGGGTAAAGAGGCAGGGGCGTGAAAGTGACCACTCACCTCCAACTAGTGCCGAGGCCAAGAAAATATGGATCTATACATTCACCCACATATGCCTTCACGGCGTAGTGCTTCATTAGTTATGCAGAGGGGCACCTTTGCCTTACATTTACTGCGCTAAGCACTTAGACTTAAATACAGATTTGAGGTTTTCACGCAGGTGAGTATGAAGAATACCGTCTTCCGGGATGTGGCGCCGTGTAGATCTTATGTGAACCGACGTTTCGGAGAAATGCATCACCTCGACGTTCAGGGTAGAAAAATCCGCGAGCTAGGAACCAGCGTGAGCAGGTGGTTTCTCGCCCGCGGATCGACGTGATACATCCCAGAAGACGGCATTCTTCTTAAATTCTTTCAATTACAATTAGGTATTCTTACTATTAACAACTAAATACAACGCTCGGATATGTAACATAATTTCATATTCATTTATAAGATTTTTGAAACACATGTCAGAGCTCGGTTTACGCCCTGATGAAGCAACAACACGGTATCGGTAGCCGGATGGACTGACAGAGTGGTCGGTATGTCAGCACCCAGCATCGGGTTGATAATGCCATAACGAACAACAACCGTGTTGGCCAGCTTTACAATACACATACACGTCAACACTCCATTGCATGAGGCACACTTCTCGTTGACTTGACCGTTGTTTTAAATTTGATGGATCATTTCATTCACGTAGGATACCCGAGTTTTGTACCCCCCCCTCACGGAGTTCGCCAACAAAACATCCCATCAATCATGTTTCTGTCTCCTACACTGGACTATGTGTGTGCATATATGACAGGGAGTTTCAAAACACAACATTCTAGGTACATTTTCATCATCAGAATAATATCCATACAGAACCAACAGTAAAAACAATGAGTGTCGTGGGGGTCGGAGGGGGGGGGGAATAGATCCAGAGATTTACATTCACACACTTTAAAATACAGTGATAAAATCAGTGTCCATGTTTTCGATGTAATGTTAGACGGTGTTAGACTCACATTCTGGGCTTTTTAAGTATCCCAAACGTTTCTTTTACAGGCGGAAGACCAATGCACGAGTATGCTAAGCTATCTGCTCCTTGACACGTGCGGTTCTGATGATGGCTCAGTAGGGCTCAAACATGTCAGTCATACTTTATTAAGCAAATACAATTTTTAACTGCTACATGTTATACTTGATGGGTTTTATGAATTCATTATAAACAAAGAATTCCGAGCAGAGCCCATACAATGCACTTCCCTACTCTACAAACCTTGTGTCGTCACATTTCCGTCTAGGCAGGTTAATGTGACACTCGAAATTACTTGGTTCTTGGACTTGGTCCATCGTCCGGCATTCTAGAAACTAGACAACACAACGTTTCGGAAACTGCATCTGCTTGCGTCCTCAGGTGAGGGAGGGACCGAAACGGATACAGTTTTCCGAAACGTCATATTTTCCAGTTTCTAGAATACCGGAAGATGGACAAAGTCCAAAAACCCTGTAACTCTGAGTGTTGTACACCATGGTCAGAACCATTTAGAATCCAGGTTAATATAAGTGTACAATCCCACAACAAGACACGATCCAACTTATATGAGACACATGTGTAAGCAATCGTTCGATTTAGTCCCACGCGTGGCAGCATTCTCTTCACCGCTGGCAACTGTTAAATATACGATCTTACGCGTTCCCGCAAACTGCTGAGTTTTTCTCTTTAATGCTAGTGGAGTGGGACTAAGTCCCTTGTACTGTGGCCATTTCTGGCCTATAGTACCAGCTCCAGATGATAGGTGAGGGTGATTGTGGAGCAATTGGTGGAATGAAGATTGGCAGGGGAAACCGAAGTACTCGGAGGAAACCTGCCCCAGCGCCACTCTGTCCACCACAAATCCCACTTGACCAGACCCAGGATCGAACCCGGGCCGCCGCGGTGGGAAGCCAGAGAGTAACCGCTTGAGCTATGGCGCGGCCCTTAACTGCTGAGTTGGTCAGGAGGAAGCGTCGGACAGACTTCCCGTCAAGCCTCCTTCGCAGATTCGCATTCATAGCGGAACCGTCTGGGTGGCTCAGCGATCAGTGACAGCACTATATGTTACTGATCAGTTGTTGCTATCATCATCGTCGTCATCTTCTTCTTCTTCTTCTTCTTCTTCTTCTTCTTCTGGTAAGAATTTATTGGGCCTACTTCGGCCGAAGTTCCTACACATTCTGTATACGTTACATTTTGTCGGATACAACACCACCGCAGCCATGTTTTTAATTGTTAACTTACAAATAATACAAGAAGGTGTTAATCAATCCAATCCACACCCCGTTATTATTAGTCACGCAACCTTAAACATGTGATACATTTTGTGAGAAAATGGCTGAGGGTATCTTATATTACAGACCATAGCTTTCACTGTCCTAAAGCAACGTTTCTCATTGGGTGTGACTGATGAGACTTGATGGCCGGCTGGGTGGTACGCGAGGTCTTAAAAACAGGACCTTCAATTGAACATCGGGTTTAATATAACAGTGAAATGTAGAGGGTTTGGGCAAAATAATGAAAACACTACAGGGTAATATACACATTTCTTTATTAATATGGTGCTGGACCACCGTTTGCTTTCAATACACTCGCAGTCCTTCTTGGAATGGGCTCGTACAAGTTTTGAACGGTCTCTAGCGGAATTTTATACAATTCTTCTTGAAGAACATCTTCAAGTTGCTTTACAGATGTTGGATCTGTTCCTCACTCTAGTCTCTTAAACTGACCAGAGCGGTTCATTGATGTTCAAATCTGGTTATTTTGCTGGCCAGGGAACGTGTTGAAGTTCACCTTCATGCTCTTCAAACCCTGACTGAACAGTTCAGCTGTGTGAATGGGGACAGTTATTACACAAGCTGTCCACATACTCCCTTGAAGTAAGTTGGTCATGAAGGGTATTAGTGGGACCAACAGAATGCTGTACCGCGATACTGCTGCCCAAACTATCCCAGAACCTCTCCCGTGCTTCACTGCTGGAACCAGGCAATCAGGACTGCAGGCTTCCTTGGGTGTTCTCCAAACGTAAACTCTTCCTGATGGAAGTAGAGAACAGCGTGAAGGACGACTCATCTGACCGTATGACGCTCGCGTTTCCACTTATCTGATATCCAGGTTTTACGGTCGTGATAACATTACTTACACATCTGTTAATTAGTTTCAGTATTCAGAGATTTGGCAATTGCGGCATATCGTGAATGCTGGATTGAGAAGCTCACGTCAGACAGTTTTTGTGGAAACGGGGTCTGCTGTCACCTGTGCTGCAGTCGTTCAGTGATTTTTGGAAACAATTCTCCTCAATGCACGACGATCTCTTTCTGTCAATGTCGATTTTTGTCCACTCTTCCTCTTCGCTGATGTTGTATTCGTATGATCCGTGTATGCTTCCGACATAACCTTAGAAAATGTCGCTCTCCATGCACCCAATAATGTGGCAGTTTTTGCCACAGATGCTCCACCTAAATTCAAAATCTGACAACTCTCCCATTTTCCGATTCTTTCACACGGACTGTCACTTAACACAATCACTAATGCACTGAAAGGAGTACTGCAGAGCGTAAACAAACGGAAGAATAACATCCAGTGTTGCCAACTGAAGTTCTTTCAATGTAGCCAACACAAATTTTATTCCTCACTTTCTTAGTGTTTCCATTATTTTGTCCATCCTCTGTATTTAAATGTAAACAGAAACCTTTTTTGAAAGAGAGAAAGTATGTTTTTACTGTAGTGAACGCATGCTTTTTGACATAACTACAGACGGGACCACATATAAACGGCTGATAATCATGGCTTTAAGGGGCTAAGCACATGGCAATGAAGTTGCATATGGGGAGCCTCGGTATGCATTAAAATGAAGGCTGGGAGCGTCACACAGCCAGTGTGAATGTGGTACGTTAGCGAAAAGCCATTGTCTCTGCCAGGAATTAAACTCCGGCCACCTAGCTGATCATTGCATTAACTAAGGCGCGTCGGTCAATTAATATAAGGGGGCCTAGAGCCTAATTATTGCGTTACTGTGGCATTAATAAGAGAGCAGAAAAGTTGGCAGGTTTCAGTATGTAATGGAGTTGGAACACAAAACCACTGAGCAGGACTCACCCGCCGGTGTTGTAACTGGAGTTATAGTTGTAACTAGAATCCTGCCAAGTATTGTACCTCTGGTGTTGACCGCCGCCAGCACTTCCCCTGTAGCCTGTAACACAAACAGAGATGACTGATCATTACTGGGCCAACCTCATTATTCATTCAATTACACCGAAACCACATCTGCATTTAGCTTCTGGACTTTAAGATAAGAGAAGTTAACAATTAATGACAAATCATATTCATTTACGGGTTATTCAGCATGTGAACAGTCCAGGTTCTATAGTCTCAAATAATAGGATAATCAGTGAATAATGAAGGTAAAGCTATCTCTGTAACAGACCGTGGAGGCCCATAGGATTGTGAGATGTCGAGGTTCCCATATTTTCTAGACAGTCGGTTCACAAATAGCGGTGAGATTGTTAGCCTTATGCGCCAGCCGCCCTTTACCCTCAGGATGATTCCTGGTACTCATTTACGTTAGAGGCTGAGTAGACCCCAGGGCCATAGTGCGGCTGGAAGGATTGGGTCAACTAAAAATTCCAGTGACCTCATTGCGAATCGAACCAGCAACCATTCGGCTTGTAGCATAGTGCCTCAACCAACTACCCTACCGCGTGAACCTCAGTGAGTAACGAACCTGAACAAAAAACTGAAGGAGTGGCCTAATTGGAGGTACCACAACAGAAGATAATCCAGGAAACTCTCCGTCAGGACAGGCGATCTCAGCGCCGAGATTCGGACTCGCGACGTCTCGAACAGGAAACGTGAGCGCTAACCACTCGAGATGGAATTTACAGACGCTTATTTCTGTACCGTTATTGAGAAGATACCGGACACTCATTCACTGGATCCCACCTTCACTCTCATCCTCTGTTTCTCTCACTCACAAACTCACAATCACTCTCCGCCCCCAACCCTCACATACTCACATACGAGTACGTACTGTTTTTATGTAGGCCCCACAGACACCATCATCATCATCATCTGATAGATCAGCGTGGCAGTATCAGGAAGCAATCTGATTGGCTTACCGGTTATCGTGATAGGATTCTGTGGCTTTCCCCAGTTAATTTCAGACGAATGCTGATATAATATTCTCAAACACGTGTAATTAAATCATTCAAGTTTCTTACCTCAATGGCCATTGATATGGCCACATGATTACATGCTATAGTAGCCTACAGCAGGCTGCGTGCTACTAGTTCTAGCTACAGACTATGGAATCTTTAGAAAAAAAAAAAAAAAGGTTGATATATAGTTGAAGTGGCTTCGTGTAATTGGTCAATAGATATCCTGCAATTGCGCTTGGCACTGGTACAATGAAATGCACTGTGTATGACACGGCAGTACCAGTACCAGATTGGAAAGAGTGCACTTACGCAGTAGTGCAGTACATAACATTCATAATGGTGCTGATTGCAGTTTAGTAACCTTATTTTAGGCCGCGCCACAGCTCAATCGGTTAATCGCTGGCTTCCCACCGTGGCGGCCCGGGTTCGATCGCGGGTCTTGTCAAGTGGGATTTGTGGTGGACAAAGTGGCGCTGGGGCAGGTTTTCTCAGAGTACTGCGGTTTCCCCTGCCAATCTTCATTCCACCAATTGCTCGACAATCACCCTCACATATCATCTGGGGCTGGTACAATAGGCCAGAAGTGGCCGCAGTACAAGGGACTTAGTCCCACCCCACTAGCAATAAAAAAACTTAATTTAGGCCTAACTGAATATTAATTACCTCAGGCCTCAGTAAAGTGGACTTCCTTATGGGTAAAAATGACTTAAACTCGGAACTGCTCGATAATTTTTGGTAAAGTTTTCCCATATCGAGTGGAAAGGTTAAATGGGATATATGGAAAAGTCCACTTATGGTGTTATGTAAATTACAGGGTTTATTTACTATGGGTCAATATGGTTCAAAATTAGACTTTTCCACAGCAACTTTTGGTGCAAGTCTATCGCCTCGAATTTCAACAGAATCTGTGATATGACATCTGGGGTACACGCAAAAGGCATTTATAACGTAATTTGAACAAGGCTTTATTATGGATCATTAGGTCTATGGCTGAAAACTGGAAATGCCCAACAACTTTTAGTAACAGTCTCCCATATCTAATTTGCAGAAATTCAGCATAGTGGGGAAGGCGCTGGCCGATCACAGTGGTCGCGCGGTCTAGGGCATGAAGTGCGTTCTCCCGCTCAAACACTGGGATCCTGGGCTCGAATCCCACTTGAGACATGGTTGTTTGTGCGCGTTCAATCTCTGTTTGTGTTGTCCTGCGTGTGTAGGTAGAGGCCTTGGGACGGATTGATCCAAGGAGTCTTACCCACTGTTTAAAAGATCAAGAAACCGAGAAAGCGGCCAAGGCCCAACAAAGGGATGCAGAGCCACAGAGAGATAGACACGACATCAAAATAAGGGCGTTTGTTTACACTGTAAGTTTTGTCTAAATCGGATCGTTACGATATATGTAGCCTATATTTCGTAACGTGTAGGTCTCAATTTGACCCTCAACATTGGAGTTCCGATCACACACGGAAGATTACGGAAGTCTCTTGTCTTGATAAAATTAAAGGAAAGTTCCTCCAATCCGAATCTAGGTCCATACGCCTACATACAAGCATACGGGACATAAACACATATAAGTTACCATATAATTGATCGTGACGCCGAAGTCTCCCACTATCGATTACAACAATCGTTCTACAAAAAAAAAATGCATCAACTGTTTCAGAAAAAGATCGCAACTAACAAAAAACAAAATAAATTCTTGCTTCTTCTTTAGAGCTCGTATCACAGGCGACCTCTGGTGTGTTTTCTTTAAGTGGAATGCTATGTTTAAATTACAGACATTTATCAGTGAATTAGCTGATACCAGTTTATGTGACTTATAGAGGATGCCACTAGAAAGAGGACCCAAGCAACTTTTGTATTATTAACTGAGAGGAAAATGTGACACAGGAAAGCCAAAAGAAAGACGGCTTGATTTTTTAGGACGGAACAGGCTAACAAGCTCAACTCTTACAGATGATGATGATAGCGCCTAATAATCGGTGGGAAAACGAAGACAACGATTCGACCTATCGATCGCAGACCTGTATTCAAGATGAGACTGTGAGGGCGCAGATAAATTATGTCGGCACACACGTCTAGGCTATTCAGTTGTCCCAAAATATTCACCTACGGACGGCATCATGCTGCTTCTAGAAAAGCAATGAGATGAAAATGTTTGGAATTTATGGGGGACATTTTCCTCTGTCATCAAGGAACCGTTGAGCGTCCGTCGGTGTGCATACCCAAATCGTGTTACCGCACGACACTCATCGCGTTTTCAGCCAAAATTATGCTTCAGCCCATATTTCAAGGGGCATTTTCATTTAGATGTTCGCCAATGGATTCCATGGCACAATCCGTAGGCGCGATTTTTTGGACACCCTGTATCCTAACTTGCAACCTCTTACGAAAAATACTCGAACGTCATGTTTAAGAGGTCTGTGCTACTGCTTCATATTTGACAGGTTCAGGGTTCTATTATCAGTCCGGATATTCTGACTGAGGTTTCTCGAAATTTTCTCAGTTCTCCAGATAAATACTTGGACAATACTTTAAAACAGGTCACGACACATTTCTGTGACAGTAATGCTTATTTCTCATTCTCAAAACAAAAACTCCACTTTGCATCTGTACAACATACACGTACGCAACTAAGAAAGAGCCCACAAATAAACAGTAATTCAAGATAAACCTCTCACTGTCACAGTTGGCTGTATGAGAAGATGCATGATTCCGTATTAAGGCACGAAAATACTTTGTATAAAAGAATCCATGCATTTGATCTTCCGTCCTTATAAGTGAAATGAACGTGTGGCCAGCTACAACATGCTGACAGATCTTTTCAGACCTGAATAGATTTGGCGATAAAACAAAGATAAATGACGTACAGACATGGGGAAAATGAGAAACACAAATGAAATTTTAGCTGCGAAACATGAAGGAAGACAAAGATATAGATGTAAGTAAGTAAAGTAAAGTAAAGGTATCCCTGTAACAGGCCGTGGAGGCCCATAGGGTTGTGAGATGTTGAGGTTCCCATATTTTCTATACAATCGGCTCATAGACGGCGGCAAGGTTGACAGCCCTAAGCGCCGGCCGCCCTTTATCCCCAAGAATATTCCTGGTACTCATTTTTGTTGGAGGCTGAGTCGACCCCGGGGCCACAGTGCGGCTGGAAGAATAAGGTCAATTGAAAAAATCCAATGACCTCATCGGGACTTGAACCCGCCATCTTCCGGCTTGTAAAAGGCATCGATGGGAGGGTAGTATTAAAATGAATCTTAAAGAGTGTGGGGGGAAGGACTATATTCATCTCAATCCGTGTAGAATCCAGTGACGAGCTCTTAAGAGTAGGGCAATAACTTTTCGGGTTCCATAACAGGCGGGAAATTCCTTGATTTGTAGAGTGATTTCCGGCTCCCGTCTTTTGAACTAGTTATACGAATTCGCAGATGGAAAAACTTGTCACAACTGAGTGCGATGACGTCACAAGAGTGTATTCAGGACAGTGCACGCGAGAGCATGCGGAGTTCCCACAGGACTGTGAGGCATCTCGCTGATCCCAGAATAAACACTGGAAGTCAGTTGGATGTTCTCCATTCTCGGGATCCAATTCTCAATAATGAACGGTAAGATGAGAGAGGGGAAAGAAACATTTAGCCCGCTGTTTACCGCTGGGCTTAGCGCACTCCGGGAGAGCAGTCACAACGTGCGCGAAGCCAAGTGACGAAGGATATCTCTAGAAACTATACCGAGATATTAACTAACGAATTCAGGGCACATTGGAGCCACTGTCTACTCAGCTCCCAGTACATATAACATACTATCAACTTTATTTGGGAATCTCAAATAGAAAGCATCGACCTAGCAGAATTTCGACTTTGATTCCATAAGAATATGTTCCTCAACCGATGCTCCGTAGTTCAATTGATGCCGATTTTCTAACTCCAGTCATTGTTTATAATACAAGCATGATATCGGTGGGGAACCCAATTCAGTTGGGAGAATAATATTAAAATGCATATTAAACAGGGTGTGGGGATTGGAACTTGATTCA